ATTAAGTTAGGGAAAATATTTATGAACATATCATGGCTTTAATTAATGTTACTTAATGACGTTTTTTACGAACGAAAAAAAGAGTGTTTTGGATAATTTAGTGGACTTGAATATTGGGAATATATTAGATAATATATGCAAGATAAAATAAATAGTGGACAATTAATGAACTCAGCGAACCTTTAAGATTTTATTGATTAATAATAAGGTTAAGGTAAGGCAAACATTTAATTCAGATAAGAGTTTGATGAAAATAATTTTCATTGATATTGTATATTAGGAAAGAAAGTTATTCCATCACTTAAAGTCATATCTAATTTTACATGTTAGGATAAAACAATAATAATTTGTCGCACATGTATCTTCTATAGGAAAGCTACCTCTCCATACTTTACACATGATGAAATATTTTGTAATCCATGTAAAATTATTTGTAACAAGTCTTATCCAATCATACCGTATCTTGTGATTATTATCAAAATATGACCTGGGAGTAGTAATATCATATTTTAATTTAGTGATGAAATGCAAATAAGTCTCTATAAATAGCTAGGTTATAGATATGTATATAAACTTTAATTTGATATTACAGGAAATGATGAATTTATCGCTAGGTTTTCCCCTGGTAATACCCAAAAGAATTAGACGATTCTTTTTACAATGTACCTATTCTTCCTTATGTCGGTTGTTGCCATGATATTGAAAAGATTTACGTTTTCTTTTTTCCCCATTTTTTAATACTCATTACATGGTGCATTTTGTTACTATCTCTGTTCATAATTAGTGATTTTTTGATCTTTTTATTTTAGTTCAAAATGTGTCATTTTTACATAATTAAGAATGAATTAAGTTTAGTTTTAAAATTTGTCCATATTTACATATCTTAATATGTCAAGTTAATAATACGCACATTTTTAATTAAGGGTAATTTAGTCAAGATATTTATATTTTTCTACGAGTTAGTATTTTTTTAAGGTGTGTGATAAAGGCCAAAAAGTCACTTATTGATGTACTATGGTATGATCACTAATATTATTGCTATGAATATCATTATCTTTTGGCAGAATAACCTAATAAACATTTCTACTTGTCCCACTTTGTCATTTCGGTCCCGATACTCTATGAAGTTTCATCCATACACTCGTAGTTTTCAAAATACATTACTTTAAACCATTCTGACCGTTGACCAAGCATATGTGGCAACTTCATGACCGAGTTGGACAAAATACATGAATTTCACGCGTATAACGAAAGTAAACATAAAAAAGTTAGACTAAAAATGCTTAAAATAAGAAAAAAAAAGTAAAAGTAAAAGACAAAAATATATATATAAGAAAAAATAATATATCTTTGTTCTTTCTTCTTTCTCAACCCCCACCCCCACCCCATTTCTTTTTCTCTTCTACCATTACCCTTTTCACGTTCTTTCCCCACCCCTCCTCCGTTTCTCTTTTCTCTTTCTCCCCTTGTTCATTTCCTGTTATTCCCCTCCTCCATTTCTCCTTTTCTCTTTCTTCTGTTATTCCCGGCCTCCCCATTTTCACAAACCTTCAGTCAATATTTGAGAAAAAAGTAATAATTTTTTTTGAAGAGCAACCACCATTAAATATTTTGAGATGAATTAGATCTATGTCTATTATCAGTGTTGAATATGATTTGGGTAACAATCATTTCAGGACTAATAGATTCTTAGGTGGTGGAGCAGATATTTAATGGTGGAATTTTATTTGATAAGAGAAGCTACAAATTTAATTTTTTGGGTAGTTTATGGTGAGGTGTTGGCTGATAAGTGGGGATTTTGACTACTTATTAGCGTCCTTTTGCTTTTATTTTAGTCTAAAAGTATTAAATTGTGTTTTCAAAATTAATAAAAAGTGCAAAATTACAGAAATGTTGGAAGTTGGACTCCCGAGATGAAATCCGACTAAAAAAGTAGTAGTCCGAGCTCAATGCAATAAAAGGGTACATAAGCATACAAAGTGCGATCCGCAGAATTCCATCTGCGGCCGCAAACAACGAAGGAAATCCCAACAAACTTTCTAGCAAGTTGCAGACTGCACAGGAAATTTGCAGCCGCAAAAGAAGAGCTTTAGATCAACTTCAGAGGGTGTGCAAATTTTCAAGTTTCAAGTCCTTCAAAATTGCGGACCGCACAAGAATTGTGCGGCCGCAGACATAAAAGTGCGGACCACAGTTCTAAATTTGCGGATCGTAGAAATGTTGTCTCGCGGCCGCAGTTCAGAATTGTGCGGCCGCAGAATCGCAGCTCCTGTAAGAGGAGGAATTCTACGGACCGCGCATGGAATTGTGCGGCCGCAGAACCTCCCGAAGGGTATTTTTGTCTGAATTTTTCAGCCTTGTATAAATAGACGAATTAGGTCAACTTTTGACATCAGCAAGTCCTGTAGCCGTTTTCTTTGCCTCTTTTGGAAGTTTTCTATATTTAGAGTATTTTACTATAGATTAACTTTACAATATGAGATTAATTAGTATTTCTTCTTCTATTTCTTCAATTTCAAGTATGAGTAGCTAGATTCTTATTAGGGTTGTGACCCAACCCTAGTGTGTAAACCTTATGGGTATCCAATTTAGTGCTTGTTTATGGTTGAGTGTTTGTTATTTAGCCTTGTTTATGGTTGAGTGTTTGTTATTTAGCCTTGTTTATGATTTAATTTGTGGAATTAATGGTTGCAAACATTAGTTCATACTTATTTGACTTGGTCTCTACTTGAGAAAAGAGAGACCTAGTCTAGGAAAACTTGGCTAAAAAGAAATTGGGTCAATCGAGAGATTGATTAACCCAATTAAAGGGTTCAACCTAGAGATAATAATAACCCAACTTGAGCTTTTATCAACCATTTTGTGTGATGCCCATTTGGATTTGAGAAAGCCAAATTGAGAAAAATTACTCTCTGATTGAGAGTATTTGAGAGTTGATAGCTATAATACACCCCGATCAGCAAAACAAACATTAAGATTTTTATCCTATTAGGCGAACACCTAGGTGATGGTCATAGCCCTAGGCTATTTACAAACTTGAAAAACAACAAAAATAATTATCCTTGTTTAATTTCTTTACTTTGCCATCTTTAGTTTTAAAATAGAAATAGCAACAAAACTATTTTGTGAAAGTGCAAATTAAGATAGTTCAAATTCACGCATTAGAATATATACTCCTAACTCTCATCTAGCTCCCTGTGGATTCGATCCCGACTCTTCGTTGGGTTACTATAATTGCAATCGACTATTTCATACCTTGTTTTGAGGTGTGCATTGTGCGCGATAGTCACTAGCGAAGAGTGATTTTGGAGGGTGAAGAGTGGTTGACGGAGGTCTTTGTGAAATTAGGTGAGGTGTACAATGTAAAATTATGTGGGCATATGGGAATATTGAGGAATTTTAGTGGTAAAAGGAGTTCAAGGTGATTTACATGGTGGATTTGAAGTAGAGGGCAATGATGTTTGAGAAAATCCTCTGAAAGGGAGATGGACGATGGAAAATTGGAAAATGGTGGGTTTTAGTTATCCACTGTAGTGCTGCCGCCGGTAAAGGCGGTAAAATCGTGGTGTTTGTCTCTGCTATGTAAAATAGAGATAGGTAAGGGTGGGGGAGTAGTGGAGTGGAAAAAGAAAAAAATCAAATTTTTGAAATTAAAATAAAAAAAATGACGCGTCATTAAAAATATGATATGGACTATGATGTGTCATCCACATCGTGTGTTTGAAGAACACGCGAGACAAGAGGGATTTAAAATAATGTGTTTTAAAAATTATAGGTGTCTGGATTAAATTTCGTAGAGTATGTAGATCGGGATAATAAAACGAGACAAGTAAAAATATTTATTAAGCTATTCTGTCTTATCTATTAGATTAGAATTTTAATAATTCACCATGCTTTTCCCAAAAGCGCGTGAATTTTTGTGTTGAGATGGAATGCAATCTGTTGGTCCCCATTTAAGGTTTGACAAATCCTAACCAAAGAAACAAAAAGCAGGAAAATTAATTTTTAAAAATATCAAAAAAAATGAAGGTTAATTTTATCCTTGGGAAGACGAGCCAGTTGCAACGCCCTTTTTATTTCACTATGATTAGCAGTAAATATTCCTTCCGTATTTGAATCCCAAGAGTCCAATTGGCTTGTAGTAGGGCTAATTATTAGTAAGTCAAACAGGAAATGACAAAAAGGCCCTCTTGTGTTGTGGGCTATCTGCCTTACACCTGGCATGGGCGCCATGTGTTTAGTTGGTTAACATAAAAGGATCTTTACACTAGTTGTGTCGAATGTATTTATTTTTTCCAAGCCGACATATATTAATTCCTCCCTCCGTTCCAATTTACGTGAACCTGTTTGATTGAGCACGGAGTTTAAAAAAAAATAAAAACTTTTAGAATGTGTGATCCTAAGTCAAAAAGAGGTTCAGAGTATTTGTGTGGTTATAAAAGCGTCTCATTAAAGGTAGAATTGGAAGTTTAAGCTAAATTATTTTCAAATTAAAAAATTGGTCATTCTTTTTGGAACGGACCAAAAAGGAAATAGGTTCATATATATATTAGCTAGCTATTTTTAGTTTAAGCGATTGGATAAACGATTATTCCATCATGAAACTGGCATGATTGGATTTCTTGCTTTTGTAGGGGTAATTAGGGGTATTCCACATCCGACGGAAAATCAATCCAAACGAGAAATTGA